AGGCCAATCTAACGCATCAATAAGCGCCAAAAACTACCCGAGCAAAACGCCATCTTGGCGGTTTTCAAGGGTCTGCTTAGAAGTTCAAAGTACATGTAATGTGCGTCATCTTAAAACACCATCCAAGCAACTTATCCCTTACCTACGAATACGCGAGCGGAAAAAGCAGGTTTACATCTTCGCACACTCCTATGCTGCAAATCAATGCACCCTTAACAGAAACTCAACGTCGGAAATTCTAATGATTTTAAATCAGCACGGTCTATAAAAGGCAAAATTGTTAAGTGAGTGAACCAATTACACTAATAAGCTATAGCAACCAAAAAAACTGCTCAACGGAATCAGTGGTGTGTATGAAAACAATATAAGAGTGTAATAGCGCGAATAAAGGAACAATATGGAAATGTTGTTCATTCTCTATTTGTGGTGTGCGCAGTCTATACGTTCTTCTTGGTGTTACGTAATGTTATGTAACGTGTTTCATTTTTTTAGGCTCTGCTTTTATCCGTACTTTTGCTCGGGAAATCAGTCTGCCAGAAGCTTTGCGCGATGACTCAAAGAAAGGCTGCGTCAGAAAGAGGCTTCTGGAACCCTGAAGAAACGAATAATTTTTCCAATTTGGGGGTAGGAAAATTTGTAGTTTTCTTTACTTGAATTTTTTTACTACTTCTAAGAAATTTATTGCAAAACTCAGCAAATTCAAACCGGTAAAGCGCAGAACAAAACAGTTAATGGGTGAATGTTGTACGTAAAAGTATTGCCGGTTTTCAGTGTCACGCCATTCAAAACCGTTCAATAGATAAAGTCCAGAATCTGGGAAATGAAAGAAGGTACATATACAAAAATGAAGACCCTCGCCAATTGCAAGATTGAGGTCAGAGGAATATTTCGTATACGAGATATCCGAAGAAATGTTTTACCCAAACTTACAGAGATTTGTATGGAGACACCATGCTGGTGCTCACCTGGATGAGCTCCAACATGGCGGATGGGAACCAACAGAAACATCTGTTACCGAGTTTTGCAAGAAAAGCGTGAATTTATTCTTCGAGAAACTTATAAACAATAAAGTAATTCCTTTTCTAATTCATGAACTGTTTAGATAGCAAAATTTTCTGAAATAAGTCATTTGTTTAACCTACATGACAACTCTCTTGGCCGTCATGTCATGTAAATGAAAGCTTAGAAATTCAAGCGTACTCTATCACAAAACCAAGAACCCTTTTGAAGCGAAACTTTTGTATGAAAATTACTTTTTAGCTGCTCTAATGCATCGTGAAAGTAAAATCTCGGTAGAATCGATAGTTTTTTAGTTTGAATTTTAGTGACGTCATCCGGAAAACCAACAATATTTCCGTCATGGCTTTTGGCGTCTACGTTGACGGGAGTTTATAGCTTGGTAACGGTTAGCTATTTTGTTGGTCTGGGTGCCGGGTACACATTTCTCTTTTCATAAGAATGTTCTTACTTGTTTTTTCGACCCAGGCTGAATATTCTTATTTTTGTGCCGATTTTAGGCTGAAAACATTCTTTTATTATTCTTAGATTTATAGCTTCTGACTTTTCCGTTTTAGAATATTTTGGGATGAGTATATTTAACCTGCAGTTAATGCAGGTTTTTTTCGTTTTGGTGACTAGTTTTGCCGTAAAGAGAAAGGGATAATTTTACGGTTAAGTTAAAAAGATATAATTGTATTGTATTTACAGATTTTCAATTAACACACAAAATTATATCCTTTTTAAAATCTTAGCCTTGTGTTCATTCTTATCATATTGTTAAAATTTCGCAAATTTCAGCCTCAATATTCTTATAAAATATATTCTTATAAGAGAGTGTAGTATTATGACTGAGCTTTTCGTCAGTACTAATTTCTCTGCGCTCAATATTGGTCATCAAACAAATGTCTTAGTTTCGTTTTTCTTAGGTAAAATAAAATAAACCTCAAAATAGTTTAAAATTGACCAAATGATTACTGCAATTTCAGTTAAATTCCATTTCGTGTCTGCTGCAAAATAGAAAGTTAAACTAGTGGCCCCAAATAGGGTTTTTCAGCCGTTTTGGTCATAAATTTTCGATTTTGGCTATTTTGCCGCCATTTTGGTCATAAATTAACGATTTTTGCACTGTATTTCTTGAATGCCATTCCATTTCCCCCCTCCTTGATTGTCCACCGGCTGCTTTGTAGGCTAGAAAATACAAGCAACAAGCAACAAAAGCCCTTCACAAATTATGTTCCAGGTCATAAATAGGGTATCAAATAGAAAACCAGATTTTGGTCATAAATAGGGTAAGGGTTTTAAGCCCATTTTTTTAGGCCTAAATTAGTAAATTATATTAGGAAACCACTCCCGTTTCCTCGAAGAACGCAGATTAAACTGAATTGGAATTCAGGTGTGTCAGGGAGCAGTGGTAAATGATCCATATCACTCAACTATACCAAGAGCCATAATGGCGAGTAGGAGCCCATGACAGGCTATTGAATTAATAGCTATAGCAAGAGTCGACCGGACTGAACAGCGCGTAACTTATCGCAAGTCACATCTGCCGGAGTTCGAGCCATGACGTGTGATGGGAGCTGTAAACTATGGTTTCCACTATTCCGTGTTTTTTACGCTGCAGACGTCAATTTTTTACGCGCTTCGTTGTAGGGAGCATTCCACAGAAACTATGTTCATTTCCTTGAGCGTGAGATGAACTGGTCACGTTCAAATATAAAAGGAGCCAAGTTTCAAATCTTTAGCACCTTTTATATGTGCTTTGATATTGTAAACAGACATTTTTGTTATTCACACAAGTTTAACAGTCTTCATAAAAGGCAGAAACGAATTAAGATTGTTCTAGTGTTGTAATAAGGCATAACCTAAGGGTAGATATGTCCACTGAGGTATAATATTTACGTGCGTAAGAAAGTCAATTGTACGCGCGTTAACAAAATAGATGCGATGTACGAACGGTCGCTCATAAAAGTAAAATTTGTGCAAGGTTCAACTTTTTGTGATTTTTCACGACCTTTCTTCCAACGCTTCTGGTTTATTTAAACGCGTTGCCCAGTAGTGGTAAAAAAATATTTGTAAAAGAACCTCGTTATAGTGAACATATTTTGCCAGTTTCTTGGCCCCTCGTTATATCGAGGTTCCACGCGACTATATCTAAGTTCCCGCGAAACTGATTTTATCAGGCGGCGGTTTTTAACGACTCTATAAATACAAGTTGGATTAATTCAGCGGGACTGAAGCCCTGAGCAAATTTGCATTTGAAGACATACAACTATAATGAAATCCGTAATATACTTGTATGGCCATATACTAGTATGGCCCCAAATGAGAACATTTTCCAAGTAAGCGGGTTAACGCGCAGTTGTATTGGGCGTAGATACACTGTGAACAGTCCATTTGTATACTTTACCAGTTGGACTTTTTCCGCAATATTAAGTTAGCTCTCTTCGTCAAGAGACCCATTGGGTGTTTCTTCCATACTGCTAACTTGATCGTCGCTTGTTACAACGCTACTGTCTTGAAAATTGTTTGTATAGACATCATTTACTGCTTCCTCGTATGAAGGAGGCAGTATTTCAGGGCCAGAGGGTTCAGGAGGAACGGGAATTTCAAAGTGATGAATGGAGCCTAGCTCGCTGGCGCATTCGTCCGTGTATGATTGGTTGGCATTTATCTCAGGAGCGTAATTTCCTTGTTGAACATTTGTGCTTGTGTCTTGAGCTGGCAACAAATTGCGTCGTGAATACCAGCAAAATGCAATAACAAGTTGACCGAAACCACCAAAAGCCAAAACTAGAGGACCAATTGCACGAAAGGTTTTCAACGAGCCCGTTAAACCCACCACCGTCAAAAACACGCCAGCAATGAAAACAATCAAAGGAATCAAGCGAAAGATTCGAAATCTCTCTTTGTCCGTCACCATTTACAATCCCGAGATATTTCAATAAACAAAAGATGAAGTCTTGATGTTTGATCTGAGTGTTTGAGCCGTCAAGCAGTGGCTGTTCGTAAACTGCTTGGCATTTCAGGTCTGATAGACGAAGGCGCACCTAACAATTTGTTGTTTGAATAGATATTATTATGACGGCTCATTCCGCGTGAATGCAGAAATGATCTTAAAACAAAGCTTCAAAAATTTGCATGCTATATTAGGCTAAGAACAATAACGAGGGAAGATTCGTACGTGAGTAGCTGTCGCATTAGCACTGGAATTTTTTTTTTTTCAGATCAGGGTGGAGATGACAAGGCTAACGAGTGAGTGTAGCAGGAGAGTTGCCTAGTCCCTAGGCCGCTTATCATAGCGCACGCCTTATGTGTTTCGTATCACTTGGTCTGAGAGAGTTTTTACCATTCACATGGGCAAACCGGTCGGTTCACGGTTTGGGCAAATGGTACGCAAAATTCACGTTTACTTTTTGTAAAAATCAGTTCCATTTCCCAAATAACGGCCGCGAAGGCCTGAAACTGGAATCAAAGATGGCTTAAATGAAAGACGTCCGTTTGGAATATTACGTCCGGAAAAATCACAGGTAGCCCAAGCTCGAAATATGAGCATCGGCGAGCATCGGCATTGTTGCGTAACATTCAAAATGTAAGGATTTGTACGGGGAAAAAACCTATCGTTTATGTAACCTACGAAAATGAAAGGATTTCAATAAAAAAAAGCTTACCTTACTTACAATGTGTGTTACGTCTCTCCTGTGTGGTCCACGGGCTGATTTATGGCCGTTTTATGGGTTTTTATGTAAACGGTTTTCTCTCTAAACCCATAAAACGGCCATAAATCGGCTCGTGGACCACACAGGAGAGACGTCACACTCATTTTAAGCAAGGTAAGCTGTTTTTTTTATTGAAATCCTTTTATTTTCGTAGGTTACAGAAACGATAGGTTATTTTCCCATACAAATCCTTATATTCTGAATGTTACGCAACAATGCAGATGCTCGCCGATGCTCATATTTCGAGCTTGGGCTACCTGTGGAAAAATAGGCCTACCTTTTCAGATGTTCCAGATTATCCGTAGACTTAATGTAAATGGTAAACAACCTCTGTCTCCCCGTTGTTCGTCTCAGCCTACATCTTTGAAATGCACTGACCGAGAGGGTCTGGTAAGACCGCGCCTTACAGGCGAGCAAGCAAGAGAGAACGAGAGTAGTCAATAATTTCATAATATTATCCCCAAATTCGATATCAAATATAAAACATGAAATGTGCTGAGACGCTCTGAACTGAGGCCCCAAAATCTTGTCAGTGTTACTGACATGGGGGAGGGCCGGAGGGGATTGGGAGCTGTGTGCAAACGACCACCGTAGCAATCATTTAATTAATAATTCTTTGCAGGAGCCCATCACGAAAGCCGAGGAAGGTCTTCCGACTTCTGACTTCTGACTTCCAACTTCAGTCTTCCGACTTCCGACTTTTGACTTCCGACTTCAGACTTCAGACTTCAGACTTGACAAAGTGCGAACACCGGATTTCTGATTTCTGACCGTTCAGACTCAAAGCTGAATGGTTAGACCTTCGAACCTCCCACTTCCCACTTCCCACTTCCCACTTCCCACTTCCCACTTCCGACTTCCGACTTCTGACTTCCAACTTACGATTTGCCACTTCTGATTTCCAACTTCCGACTTCTGACTTGACTCTTCTGTTTGGCTCGATCGCCGCTCGATCCACCAGGCAGGTATTAATGCTCAAAGTCAAAGCTCAGTGGAAAGGACGGCTGTACCGCTCACGCCGGCCACAAAAGGGAGCAATTAAACTTGCTCTTGAAAAAGCAACTAAGCACAAAGCCAACCCGGCAACCGATGAGGTTCGCTTGGAGAACCGGAACCATGGTCTTGCCTGATCACAAAGTGGCAATAACAAAACAGTCCAAACATTGTCAATCTTCTTCTAGCCTGCATAACAGGCGCCTTATGAGCCAAGCGAGGTGAACGCGGCATTTTGCGCGAAGCGCGAAACGAGTGTGAAGCGCTTCGCTCGTAAAACGCCTGTTTTGCAGGCTAAACTTATTCAAAAAACTATTACCAAGGAGGGAAATACCAGCTCCAGTCAAAAGACTAGAAAAACTCTAAGCTGGAATATACTGAGTCACAATGCAATTCTCCATAGTTGATGCAGCTTCATTTTAAGCTGCACTTCATTCTTATAACTTTGGATCCGTAAATCACTATCCGTGATAATTTAACATCCTGCAAAGAAAACTAACGAGCTGAGCCCAGCGTGATAAAACATTGCATATTCACGGACTAAAGAAAATCGCTTAGTTATTCAGGTCCAGAGGGCACTTTGGAGAAAAATTAGAGCCCTTACTCAGCCGCAATAAAAAGCCTTACGCTTTAAACAAGATCAAAGAAAATGCTCTTTCATCAGGGGGCAAATCTTGCCAACCAGAAACAAAAACCACTGTAAATCGATATGTGCCATGATCTTTCAGTATGAAACAAGCGGCTAAAATCACATTTGCTCAGTTAAAAATGTAGAACCTTCCATAGCATAATGTACCCAGCAGAAGGAAAAAACTTTATTGAAACAAACAGCATTTTGGCATGAGGTAAAAGTGGAGTAGGCCTACCACCGCCTTTTATTGCTACGGAAGTCGAAAGTCGGAAGTCAGAAGTTGGAAGTCGGAAGTCGGAAGACCCTTCTCGACTTTCGTAGTTTTGTTTAGTTGTTTTCATTCATTCAAATTTAGAGTACTTTAACCCCTTTTGAACTCGCATTTTTATTTTTTCTATTCCTTGATAATGGCGCCATTATCTCGTCGAAACGTCGGAACATTGTCTCGTTACCTTTTACATGTTTATGTAGCAATTATTGAATGAGGATAACACCTTCCAAGATCTGCGTAATTCTTCAGATCATACCAGGATATCATACGAAAAACTAAATCCAATGTTTAATGACAGGGGTCACCATTTTAGGCTCCTGTTTTTCTTTTTCCCCTCCCATCGTCCTTTGCGCTCTTTCTTTTACCCTATGCCCACCTCCCGCGTCAAAGAGGCCGCTCTTCTCTGCTTGGAGTAGAGACAGAAAATAAAACCCTGATTTGTGCAGTTCGTTGTGCTTCTGTGTCATGTCAGTGAATTTACGTTCGAAACTTTCGTCAGCAAAGATAAAGACCTCGATCCCAAAATGTCAAGATCAGCCCAGATTTAATGATATACTACATTAGAAACCTTGTCGCTATACCGAAAGAGGATGATAAACTGAATCTGCGCTCTCTTAGTGGCGACAACTGACTCTTGCGTTTTGGTTGGTCGAAAGAGAAGTTTCTATTGTTACTTCAATGTTATGTACAAAGCGAAAGGCAGAGCCAAACAACAGGAGGCTCTTCCTGGAACACGATTTCTGAGTTGCAGTACATGCAGTGTCACTTTTTCCACTAAAAGTTCCTCATATTCTATGTGTAGAGGGGGACTTCTACAGACTTTAGAATTACGTGAAGAGAGGTGACTCAACCAGAGTTTGGCAGTTGACGATGGTTTTAATCTTTTCTTTGAAGTTACAAACTCCTCTAGCTATCTCAAGGCGTAACTGTGAAACTACTTACCAGAGGTTCTATTTATATTGAACTATTAAGTTAACTGATTTTTTTACAGATTTACATGGCATTCATATGCGAGGAAAAGGTGTCAGTAAGTATCAGAGTTTAGAGAACAAAAGGAACTGAAATTGAGTTGATTCCCACTACGCGTGGAAGAAATTTGCAAAACTAGAAATATCTCCATACCCAAATTCCTTTACAGGGAACCAAAAAAATAGTTTGAAAGAAACTCAATTTTCCTAAGATTGTGTCGAAAGAAATTCTAGTTTGAGGTCAGAAAAGTAAGTGAAATTTGGCTAAAACTGGTTCAAGAGAGAACAAAGAACTCGAGAGGTGTTAGGACTCGTGGCCTTAGGTTAGATTTTAATGAGACAGGAAATCTGCTTATGATTCAAGTTTGGAAGCGAAGGTGAGAACCAACTCCAGGTTTAAGTGAACGAACTTCGTTAACTGAAAACGCTTGTTTTCTTATTCCACAGCTGAATACATCTACCTATTTCTATCTTTTGAACTTGTTTCCGTGTTTCTTGAGTAACCTTGAAGAGGTGTTTCTTAACCTCAGTTAAACCTTTAGTTGTGAACGACTGAAACTACTCTTATGATGTTTCCTGCAATTACCGTGCGTCCAGCCTCTATTTTTGATTGATCCCAACACCAAAGAGGTCGGTGCAAAAATCTTTTAGCAAAGGACTTAACCGACCAGCAAAGGCTTGCTAGTAAAACCTCAAGTGTGGCCAGCTGTCTTGGCAGCTGTAAACACCATCCTTTGTCCCTTAAGAAAAGATATTTCAGATACATTACGAGCCGCAAGGTCGATTTTCGTGCACGCACCAGGGATCCTTAATTTCCATGGAGATACCCACAAACTGGACTCAAGTAACTACAAGGCGTTAGTCTTGACACATTTCCTTGCGCACCTCAGGTGTTCACATTAATCGCTTTCTGTCAGTTCATCTGTCAATAAACTCATTTTAGGACAGGACACAAATTTGCGTCAAATATCAGAGCTTGTTTTCTGCGCGCCGAATTTATACCATCGGAGCGAGATATTTTAACTCAGCTATGGTTCTCGTCAAAATCACTTAATGAAAATACTTAAATTCATGGTTGGTGTTAAAAAGGGTCTTGGTGCAAGTCTTGGAAAAAAAAAAAAATATTTTTTCGTTTCTTAAGCGAAAGGCAAAATCTAGCGCTTTATGAAGGTCGAATTCGAACCCTCCAAAGTAATAATTATTCGGTACGTTACCTGGTAAGTTACATATTGTCGCCGAAATGGTTTCAAAAGTTCAACGTGAAGAGTTCTGGATGTTATTTCGCATTATGTCCGAAGGACAGAAACTGTGTTCGCCGATATAAGGTAAGAGAGACCTTTATTATTTAAAAGGTAGAGGAGCAGCTTGTTATGGCTCTCGCATGCGGAGTTCGAGCACATCGGTGAAGCCGGTTTGACGACACTGAGGAAAACAGAGGAAAATATTTACTTGCCGTTGGTATTGTGTATATCCTCGATCACTATACAATAACGCACAAATATTATAATTCAAAGGGCATTTACAACACGCGCCAAAAGAGCCGTGATCCCGCCAAAATGCTCGAACCATCTAACAGAGTGTAAAAAGGGGGCTGGTAGGCAACACATGACTTTTACCTCGTGCCAAAATGCTGCTTTTTCCAAAAATTGTTTTCTCTGGTGGGTATGTTATATTCTGGGTTCTACTCTTTGAATGAGTAAATGTGAATTTTGCCGCTTGTTTCATACTGAGAGGTCATGACACGTATATTGATTTTCTGCGGTTATTGTTTCTGGTCGGCATGGTTTGTCCTCTGATGCAAGAGCACTTTCTTCGACCTCTTTTAAAACGTAAATCTCTTCCTTTGCGGCTAAATAAGAGTTTTAGGTTGTTTAGTCTTCTCCAAAGTGCTTCCTGGATCTGAATAGCTAAAGGCGATATTCTTTTGTCCGTGAATGTGATGGTTTCCTTCGATTTATGTCACGCTGGGCCCAGCTCGTTTAGTATTTTCTGCACGATGTTAGATTTTCACCGAAAGTGATTTACAGATTCAAATTTCGAGGAATGGATTATAGGAACGCATTTTGTAAAGAGAGATTTTGTAAGTAAAGAGAACTCGGATCCTTAAATCGATCGTGTTTTAGCTAGCCAATTGCAATTTTCATATCCTGTGTTAGTTCGGATAATTCAGTAGGTTATTCTCTCCTCTCCCTCTTAGCTTACAGGCGGCGCGCCCAAGTTTAAGAGGTGAAGAGAGATTTTTTTCAAGGGTAAAAAACTCGTAGCTTGAATCGATCATGTTTTACTATCTAGCCAATTGCAGTTTTTATGAGCTATGTTAGTTTGGATAATTCAGTAAATTTTTCTCTCCTCTCCCTCTTAGCTTACAGGCGGCGCGCCCAAGTTTAAGAGGTGAAGAGAGATTTTTAAAGGGGGAAAAACTCGTAGATTGAATCGTCATGTTTTAACTAGCTAGCCAATTACAGTTTTCATGCGCTGTGTTAGTTTAGATAATTCAGTAAATTTTTCTCTCCTCTCCCTCTTAGCTTACAGGCGGCGCGCCCAAGTTTAAGAGGTGAAGAGAGATTTTTTTCAAGGGTAAAAAACTCGTAGCTTGAATCGATCATGTTTTACTACCTAGCCAATTACAGTTTTTATGAGCTATGTTAGTTTGGATAATTCAGTAAATTTTTCTCTTCTCTCCCTCTTAGCTTACAGGCGGCACGCCCAAGTTTAAGAGGTGATGAGAGACTTTTTTCAAGGGCAAAAAGCTCGTAGCCTGAATAGACCATGTTTTACTAGCTAGCCAATTGCAGTTTTCTTACGCTGCGTTAGTTTGGTTACTCTCTCCTCTCCCTCTTGGCTTCCAGGCGGCACGCCCAAGATTAAGAGGTGAAGAGAGATTTATTTAAATTGAAACACTCGTAGCTTTGGTCGATCATGTTTTATTAGCTAGCCTATTGCAGTTTCTATACGCTGTGTTTGTTTGGATAATTCAGTAGGTCATTCTCTCCTCTCCCTCTTAGCTTACAGGCGACGCGCCCAAGTTTAAGAGGTGAAGAGAGATTTTTTTCAAGAGTAAAA